CAGTTGCATTTTTGGGGAGGAGTCGGGGGCGGTTTCATTTCCAAATGCACTTGTAACTCTCGCACAGATGGAGTCCATCTGTGTTATTTACTGTGAACAGAAGCTGCATGTACATTAGTTTTGTTTTAAAATGCACAGGTTTTGCATCCACATTATTCCTGAGATTTGATCCGCAAAAAAAATGATAAGTTCAGGAAATACAGACCCTCCACTAAAAGACAGAAAATATGACTTTACAAACTGTGTAAATAAATCATATGAATATTTTCATATTAGTCAATAATATTCATGAAATTAATTTAAAAACTGAATAAATATAGATTTACAGACATTTACACTGTAAATAAACAGAAATAATGATGGGCTAAAAATCTGTAGTTTCCTTGTGGGTCATGACTATCGTTTTGCTTTCTTTCCATTAACTTATACAGTTGGGAAAACAAATACTATGGAAGTCAATGGTTACAGATTTCCAACATTCTTCAAAATATCTTCTTTTGTGGAGAATCCCATAAATGTTTAATACCACACGAGGGAGAGTAAAAGATGAGGTAGTTTTTGATTATAGTGTGAATAACCTCTTTAAGACAGAAATGGTCTGAATTAGCATTTTGCATCATCAGCATGACCCACATGCACACTGACAGTTTCCTTGCAATCATTTCTCTCTTTTTTCACTGAACGGAGTTTTAGGTTTCAGCATAAGCCCAGGGTGTGTCCGGAGCCCACGGGCACAGGCTAGGACTGAAATAAGAGGACTAGGCAGAAGAATAGCTCTTAACTGTTCGTAGGAGGCGCATGTCCTGTCTCACACAGTCCCACGGTCCAATTCACACAGCTGGGGGCTGTGAAGAGGGCTTGAAGAGCCAAATCTGGATGACTCAGAGAACCGGAGGGCCACATCAGTGCTGCAAGACAGGAAAGAAAGGCTGAAAGGCTGAGAATATTCATTCATTTGCGCACTTTACTGACAAACACCCCCTGCGCTGGGCTTTTTCCTGTCACTGAAGTCCTGCTCTCTGTACCTTGAGTTTCTTGTGGAGCTCCTGCTGAGTAGAAAGGATGGGCAGGTCGAATCCGCCGCCTCCCACCGAACAACTCAAAAACATCTGGCACTTGGCATAGCAGTGGGCTTCTCATACTGTGGGACCCGCATGCAGATATTCAAGGTTTTTTTTTTTTTTTTGGAGGATATCTGACACTTACATTAAGCTAAAACAACTGTGTGTGTGAGTTTAACCTTCTCCTGCTTATAAGTTTCCACTCTTTCAAGTAAGAGTTTAACCCCTCACACCAAAAGAGAGATGGTATCAGATGGTAATACCATGTTATTTTGATTTATGTGTTGTGTTGATGGAAGATTAACTACACCATGTACCTTTGAGCAAACTGTTTTTACACTCTTGTTTTTGCTGCACTTTTCAGATGACCGAAGGATACCCAAGAAGAATTTGATGACATAATCAAATTTTCATAATGTTTTCATAATGCAGCACCAAAATACAAATTAACCTTCATTACAAAATAATAACAATATTATTCCGTTGCCAGCCATATCTTTTAAACCACTAGATTTCATTTAAGATATACTGAAATAAGTGCAGGTCAGAATGAGTGTTTTATTTTCCATAAATACACATTAAACTGAATGAAGATGGGACATTATTTCACCCATATTTAGTGTTTTGGGTATCACAGAGGCACAGTGGGTAGCACAATCGCTTCACAGCAAGAAGGTTGCTGGTTCTAGCCCCGGCTGGGTCAGTTGGCATTTCTGTGTGGAGTTTGCATGTTCTTCCTGTGGGTTTTCTCCAGGTGCTCCGGTTTCTCCCACAGTCCAAAGCCATGCGCTATAGGTGAATTGAATAAGCTTAATTGGCCATAGTGCATAAGTGTGAATGCAAGAGTGTATGGGTGTTTCCCAGTGTTGGGTTGCGGGTGGAAGGGCATGCGCTGCAAAAAAAACATATGCTGGGTAAGTTGGCGGTTCATTCTGCTGTGGTGAATCCTGATTAATAAAGGGATTAAGCTGAAAATTAATGAATGAGTGAATATTTAGTGATTTCCCAACACAATCTCACGGCAATTCGTAACTTTTTCATTTAGTGGCTAATTTGTATGAGTTCGTACGATCTAATTCGTACAATTTAGTACAATTTGCTTTTCCCCCAATGACGGTTGGGGTTAGGGGTGGGGTTAGGTGCCACGCCTCCTTTTTAAAATCGTATCATTTCGTACGACTGAAATCGTACGAATTCGTATGAATTAGCCACTAAACTGGCAAAACATAAAATACTTACGTTTTCTCGTGAGATCAGGCTGGATTTCCTCCACGCAAGTTATTTTTAAACATTAAAGTACACTTCACTGCATTTTCTATGTTTTTAAAACCACTTTTGTTAATTTAATTTGACGCAGACACCAAAATAAAGCCTAAAAACATACTTCAGTAATTTTGTCAGTGCCAACAGCAAAGTGGTTAGGTGCACTGACATATAGCACCATGGTGCTCACAGCGACCCGAGTTTAATTTCTGGCTGAAGGTACTTTGCCAACCGACCATTCCCTCTCTCTGTTCCCAGTGCTTTCCTGTCTGTAACCTCCACTATACTTTCCAATTAAAGGTGAAAACCCCCTAAAAATAATTTAGTAATCTTTGCTTTGTTTTGAATTTTATTTATATATTTGTAATTGTAGCAGCACTTAGAAATGTTTATTAATATACAATTGATGACAAAAATATTAGACCTTCTGTGAAATTTTTATTTATATTATAATATTTCTGAAGTGCCCATTTTTAAACAATTTTAAAACAACTTAATTTTTTTTAACCTTTTTAAAACAAGTAATCTCCTTGGTCTTTGCCATGATGACAGTAATATTTAAAAAAAAAAATCCAAAATAGCATTCAGCTTAAAGTCAGGCTAGTTAGCTAAATTAGGTCATTGAACAACAGTGGTTTGCTCTGTAGCAAATCAAGAAAAAAAATCCTAAGGGGGAGAATAATATTGAGAAGGTTTTACTTCTTTTGAAAATTTCTTTTTAACTTGAGCCAGACTTAAAGAAATAAAACTTGCTTCAGAAGAATAATATAATCAGAATACTGTATCCTTATTATTATATATTTTCTGTGCTGTTAAACATTATTGATTCATTCATTTTCTTTCGGCTTAGTTCCTTTATTCATCAGGGGTCGCCACAGCGGAATGAACCGCCAATTTATCCAGCATATGTTCTAAACAACCCTTCCAGCTGCAACCCAATACCGGGAAACATGCATACACATTCATTTCAGCCTCTGGCACCTAGAGCACACTTACACTATGCTATCCGGTGCCCAGGCCCGTTTCCCAGATCGTCTGAGAAGTGTGAGTGCTCTGAATTGGGCTCAGGTGCGGTTCACTTGACCTGCCCTGGCCCGGTTGGAAGAGGTGTGTCACAGTGAGGTTGACTTGGGCTCGGTACGCTTGAAGAGTGAGTGCAAAGCGTGCCTGAGCCTGAAACTGAAGACGAGCCGTGACTTTTAAGGGACTGTTTCATATGTATTTATTAATTATTCTTACTGTTCAATTAATTCAAACTGTCATTGATTAGTAAAAACGCAAACTCCTCACTGCATGATAGCTGCACCTTTAGTGAACTTCCTAATTCCTGCAGCATGAGAAATTTATGACTGTTTATGAGAGTCAAAAGTGGCTGATCTGATCGGCGAAATATTTGACTGTGTCACTGCATCCCAAACGACTAAAACAATATAACTAAAGAAATGTCCACTGTGCTGAGCGAAAGCGCTTACTGAACAGTGCATCATCAATGACGTAAGCATGCTCAGGCGCAAATGCAATGTGAGTGCAGGCTGTAGGGGGAGCTCTGCACAAGAAGTTAGGCCAGAGGAGAAATGGTCGTGTCCAACTGAGCCTGGTTTCTCTCAAGGTTTTTTTCCTACACTTTTGTCAATTGGTCAAGTTTGTTCCTCACCGCTGTTGTCACTGGCTTGCTTGGTTTGGAACTTGTGGAGCTGCGCATCGATGGATCTGCTCTTCAGTGTTTGGACTCTCAGCAGTGAAAATTAAACCACACTGAACTGAACTGGACAGACAAAGTTTCAATTTACTAAAACTTCTATGTCAAGCTGCTTTGACACAATCTACATTGTAAAAGCCCTATAGAAACAAGGATGAATTTAATTGAATTCACACAGTCATGCACTATGGCCAATTTTAATTTATTCAATTCACCTATAATGCATGTGTTTGGACTGTGGGGAAAACCGGAGCATCCGGAGGAAACCTAAGTCAATACAGGGAGAACATGCAAACTCCACACAGAAATACCAACTGACCCATGCAGGACTCCAACCAGTGACCTTCTTGCTGTGAGGTGACAGTGCTTACCACTGAGCCACCGAGTCGCCCTGTTAAACATCACTTTGGAAATATTAGAAAAAAAGGTACAATAATTTATTATATATGATAATTTAATTTAGCCAAATAATTTAGCCATTAATTTAGCCAAATAATTTAGCCTTAAATTGCATTTTTATTGTATTTAGGGGTTGTTGGCATTAAATTAACAAATAACAATGATGCAAAAAATCGTGTAGTAATGCCCAATAAAAACACACACATTAAATGCCTTTGTTAACTGATCCTGATGCATCCTTTCCGAACCATTAACTGCACCACAGGCATCCAAATTTTTCACTAATAAAGATCAGTTGACAAACAGCAGATACGAAACCAGCTGCCTGGATGACCTTCCCAAAGGCTCTGCGACCCACATCCCAATCCTTTCATCTCTCGCCTGCCTTAAAATGTAGCGCTGCTAAAAATAAGCTGTTTTACTGAATGAGAGCAGCTACACTCCTAATCCACCCTAGACACTGACTATAGTATTGTGGTGCTAGTTAACAGATGAATGAGGCAGTTCCCGCCCCCCGTTTCTCCTTCCTCCACCCCTTCGCTTTCCCGTTTACACACACACACACACACACACGCAGTCATGCGCTGCAGTCATTCAGGGGCTCAGCGTGGAGCTGCACACACACACAGCGACATGGCAAGACGAGCTGAGCGCTGTGTGATGATATCAGTGTGTTTGCTGCTGCTGCCGCTGTGCTGGGGTAAGTGAGACACAGACGCTTTACCATTCTTAAATGAGATCTATTTCTAAGTGAGATCAGTGGAAGATATAAAAAGTGGAGCATTTGCATGTGTTTGGTGTTGGAGGCTGAGGAAGTTGTGAAAAAAGTGGTAACTTGTGATTGCTTTCTTAGTTTTTCTAGGGATCACTTAGCAAGAAAAAACTTGTTTGCTCATGTCTATAATACCTGTACTTATTTTGAAAGTGTTCTGAACATATTTTCTTCTTGCAATGAAATTCAGTGGGATTAAAAAGAAAATACTAATAATAATAACATATAAAAATAAAATTGCACCTCAATGACTTTCATTACATGAAAATCATTATTCAGAATATTTTTTTTGTGTTGCACTTTTAGGGTTTAGGGATCAATTCTTAACAGTAATTTCACTTAAATACACTTTTAATTTAATTGCCAAGTAGTCAAACTCAATCGTGGGGTCTTAATTAGGGATCTTAAAGGAACAGTTCACCCAAAAATGTAAATGGTGTCATAATTTACTCCCCATTAACTCACCATTGAGTTTTTCTTGTTCTGTTGAACAAAAAAGAAGATATTTTGAAGAATGTTGGAAACCTATAACCATTGACATCCATAGTAGGAAAAACATATACTAAACTCAGAAAAAAGGTACTCAGTGGTACAAATAATGTTCCTTAAGGACCAATTTTGTACCTTTGTAAAAGTTGTACCTAACATGGTACCTCTTTTGATACTTCACTCTCAGAAATAAAGGTACGCGAGCTGCCACTGGGGTGGTACTTTTTCAAAAGTATTTGTACTTGAAGAGTCCATATTGGTACCTAAAAACTATATATTAGTACCCAAACATTTTATGAGGAACACTTTTGTACTTTTTATGTACTAATATGTACCCTTGAGGTATTAATATGGACCTTTCAGCTATAAATGACAGATCATGACAGATCATGTACCTTTATTTCTGAGAGTGTACTTATGATACATACTACTTTTTATGGTACAGCTAAAATGAAGATACATAGTTATATTCTTAGTAAAAAGGTACAAAAGTGTTGGACAACTCCTTCTTTATTAAAACAAATATGACTGGAAAGGGAAAGTGATTTTATGAATAATTTCCATACTAAAACATTAATCATCATTTAAAAACATATTTAAAGAAACTCATAAACATTAATTACTAAGACCTATTAAACAAAACAACTGGTAAAATTTAAAACTATAGATATTGTAAATTAAAAATAAGGCATTTTTAACAAACATTTGCTAAGCATTCTCATAAATACATTTATATTATTGATATCTGCACCTTTTGGCGTTTGCTTTCCACTATACGCACGCGAGCTAGCAAAAGTCCTGCATATGCAAAGTGTTCATGCAGACATTTTAGCATTGTGAAAGTAATTACAATACTTTTGCATGATTACATTTTTTTAAGTAAATAAATTACTTTTAGATGATTACAAAGCTATTGTGTGAAGATTAGAGAAAAAATGTTTTATATTGTAGATGGGAGAATGTGTTTCTGTAACATTTTGTGAAAAGTGCTGAGAAATGTTTAGCAAAAATGCATCTTTTGATTAAATAGATTAGATAAGAGTATTTTTTATTCTTGTATTATTGTAAATGAAAAGGTGCATTTACACAAAAATAAACGTTTTTAAAAACATTATGTATTTGATGTTTTATATTTACTGAAAATAAATTGACGCATTTTGGATAAAGCAAAGGAACACATTTGACACAGTTAAAGTGCAAAGTGTCTTGTCACTGTAGTGGTACCTTCATGGATCAGATTTGTACCATTGATGAAAGTACAACATCGTATATGCAGGTTTAAAAAAAAAACCAAAGGTACATTTTGGTTTCCCATGGCACAAATCATGTCCTTAAAGGTACAAACTGCAATGGTACACATTTGTTTTTTTGTCGTAAGGTACAATTCTGTTCCATAAAATGGTACTGCCCTAGTGACAGTGAGAGTTTTCTGAGAGTAAATGGAAGTCAGTGGTTACAGGTGCAACACTCTTCAATGTTCTTTTGTTTTCAACAGAACAAAGAAACTCCAATAGGTCTTGAACAAGTGAAGAGTGAGTAAATGATGTCAGAATTTTCATTTTTGTGTGAACTCTCCCTTTAGACACAGTCATGCAGCATAAGGCATTAATAAGTGCTTTATAAATACTAATAAACAGCCAATATACTAAATGCATATTAATAGGCAACCAGTTAATAGTCCTAACTGGTCCTCAAACTGCGTTTCACTAAAAAACAAAAGCATAATTTTATTGATTTTGTTGAAGCAACCTGATGTATGTTCAGTGATTTTATGTTAAGGTATTGATGCACAAAATATGCGACTCAAGAGCACTGCCAGAAAAAGACCATGCTGTGTGAATCTGGTTTTGATCTGTGCACAAGAAAACTTTTCCATCTTCAGAAAGCAGTCAGGATTGATGCTGTAAACTGAAAGAATGTATGCTGACAGATTCATTGCATCAAAATTATGATGCTTAATCCCTCAAAACACATGAACAGTTCACCAGCACAATTACATTAAGGAGTTATAATCAGTTTATATAAAATATTCTTATTTTTCGTGCCTGCAACCATTTAGATTTACAAAAGTACATAGAAAGTGTCATCAAAGTGCTTCAAAGTTTCAAATAACTTGTGAATATTTAAAAATATGCAATAATCTTTCAGTAAAACAGATCCAATTTACACTGAATAATATTTAAACATATTTATCAGTTACATATAACTAAGGCACTATTCATGCTATTAATAAGTAATAAATATTGCCTTAAACTCCTAATTGTCTGTATATTAATAGTTATTAAGGTGGTAGTTGGGTTTAGGCATTGTAGAATGAGATCATGCACAAATATAAGTGCTTTATAAGTGCTAATAAACTGCCAATATCTTATTAATAGGTAAGTAATAAGTATTTGTACTTAAATTAAAGTGTTTCCTATTTAATTATTCTGGTTAATTAAAATATAATCATGCTGAATTTTAATAAAGATTAAAAATGTCTTCCTAAAATTGGGATTGTTTGAAGGATAGTTGCAAAGTATAAAGATTGACAAAAATGACAATGGATCAGTATTTTAGAAATGCACTGATGCAGAGTCTTTTTGTTTCAAGCCTGAGAGATTATTCCTACATACAGTACAATATATCTATTGTATTACTGAAGATAAAAGAGGAGTATTTCTTGTCTAATGCATTCTGTTCAATTTTGTCTGAGCAAGTATTGCGCAAAATGACAAAGAACAAAAGAAGCCGGAGCATTAGTCAGGATGGCACTTGCTAACGCTGCATAATCCTGCTCATTTGTAAATTTAGCACTCAGAGTCATGCTGGAGATATAACTGTATGGAAATTCCCAGGAAAAAGCACACAAAAGTGCATCCTTATGGAGTTGTATGACATCGCAAACTCTTCGGCATGACAGACGGCCTCAGGGGGTCAGAACAATCACGAGGGCAAAGTAATCCCGCAGCGTGTTCCTCGCACAGCTGTTTTCTGTCGACGCACACTCACAGATCTCACTTCCTCCTCTTGTTCTCTTCATTGACTACCAGCAGAAACAAGCAGGAATTTGTTCTTTTGTGTGGAGGAAGTGACAGAACATCCATGACTTCAGAACTACAATAAGTGATAATTAGCAAAAGAGGACTGAATGATGTCTTAAGCGAGAATAAAACCTTCGCTGGTAAAGATTTACCACCAATACAAACAGCTGCATTACACATTCCTAGCAGAACAAATGAGTTGCCTGCTTTTAATGCGTGTAGGATTCCGATTGAAACTTGGCAGATTTACATGCTCAACTGCGCCTGTTGATGTCTTGAATTAATTACTTTAAAACAGAAGATAAAGTGAGAATTAATAAAGCAGATGTCATGAGAGGAGTAACATGCGTGTTGTGGGTTTACTGCTGGACTGAACTCACTGCCTCCTGCGGTTTTTGGGGGAAGCGATAAGGAGAAGCGTTGGCCAAAATTCATTATGGGAGTGAGGTCTTACCTTGAGGATATTTTCGTAACTTTGGGTTCATGCTTGTTTTGACATTTCTTTAGGATAACATCTTGAAATCACAAGTTTTGGGGGCTTTGAATGACTGATGGTAGTTAGGGGGAGTTGAAGGGTCAGCCTGACTACATTTCCCAACGGTTCACAAGGAACTATGTTGGTCAGTAATTGCTATTACATGTCAATCTCAGCTAAGAAGCATAAGTATTTTTCAGATTTTAATACTAAAGTTAACATATTTGCAGTCAAATAGATGGGCTTTCAAAAGGCAAATGCATGCTCTCAACACATGCACACTACAAAGATTCATCCTTATCCAGCATCTGTGGTATTCCTCTCCAAAATTAATGAACAACAAAAATGGTTCTATATGATCTCAAAATGCATTTGTGGACATCTCTTAATGTCCTTATACAAGTACTCTTCACCTTATATTAATGCACTTTGAAATTGGCAAAAAAAATCGAGTTGGATTTGGGCTTGTGTGAAAAAGCGTTAATGCAAATGGAAGATACAGTAGAAACACATCTGCTGAATAAACTCTGATGTAGCGAACATTACACCCATGTGACCAGTCAGCTTTCTTCATTATGCTTGCCTTGTTTACTGTTGGTTACCAATACATACATGGCTGTGTTTACGCATGTGTTATGTATAATATAATATCTTTTATATTAATTTAAATTGTTTGATAGAAATCATTTAATCACCAGAATTCGTCAGCACTTTGTCTTAAGTAATTTGTTTTTGATCTTGTTCATTCTGGCTCTTGACTGCATATGCAAATTTAAATTAAAAACATGTAGTTTGTGCACAGCTTAACTTTTCTAATCACACATGTGATTTGAATTGTTTTCAGAATCAAAGAAATACGAGCCATAGCCTATATTTTTGTGAAAAGTAAATTACATTGCTCCAGGTACGTTTTAGATGACAAATCCACTAGAGGGCGCTGT